ACATTTCAGAGTGTACAGATAATGCCACTGCTTTCAGTACAACTACACTGACTGACTACTACAGTTAATAGATTTTACATACAAAACATACATTCATCTTCATACACAATATGCTTTTTTTTACACATACAACACGCCATGTTATATCCTATAAAACAGTACTTTAAAGTTATGCTTTAAATGGAGTGTTGTAACCTAAAGCCCTGAGCTCAACCCTACTGAAAATAATTAAAGCCAGGTCTCAAACCAACTAATTTGATTGAAGTCTACCACTTCTGTTGAGAAGAGTGGTCAAATATCCAAAAAGAATTATGCCAGAAACATAAAATAAAATCCAAAATTATTTAATTTAATTCATGACAGACATATGATATACAATGATTCCACTCTGGGAAAAGATCAGTTCAAAGAAATCATTAAAAACTCCCAAATTATCATGACATTCAAACCCATAATGGGGTGGCTGTAGCTCAGGTGGCAGAGCAGGTCAGCCACTAATCAGAAAGTCGGTGGTTCGATCCCAGGCTGCCTCCTGGCTACATGCCAAATATCCTTGAGCAAGATACTAACCCCATGTTTGCCTACTGGTAGTGGTCAGAGGGCCCGGTGGCACCTGTGTCCGGCAGCCTCGCCTCTGTCAGTGCGCCCCAGGGCAGCTGTGGCTACAATGTACCTTGCCATCGCCTGTGTGTGAATGACTGAATGTAGTGTAAAGCGCTTTGGGGTCCTTAAAGACTAGAAAAGCGCTATACAAATGCAGGCCATTTACCATTTTTACCATAATGAGTTCATGGAAACTTTTGACCACTGTTTGTATGAAATGTGACCAGATCTAAGAACAGTATTTGTTTCTCTTTTAATGATCACAATAAAAATGAAGGCCAGTATGCATTTGCAGATCTGAAATAAATGCTTTGGGAATTTTCTTGTAACTATTTATTTAAAACAATCTAAATCTTTTCAAAGGACTATAATTGAAAACTGTTTAAAAGAAAAAATTTAATGGCAGTATGAACGTATGGAACTTAAGTTGAAAAGTAACATACTCTAGTTTCTGGGGATTTTCCTTTTGAGCATGTGACTAAAACAGTCCCAGCTCTATTTCTAATTCTAGATGTTTCATTGTTGTGTGTTAAGAGATTAAACCCTGTTCCGGTCATATTACCCTACATCATAATCTCAAAGGCTACACTGGTCAGCTAGTGGACATTCCTCATAGATTACTTTTCATTTGTCACCACTGTAATACCATCCAAGTATTGCTGTGTCGTTATTTATATAGCTATGGTCATATGCCATTTTAGCCTTTTTTTCTAATTGGGATGTCCATGAGCACTGTGTTTGGGCCTCACCTGAATATTTCTCTCCAGTCTCTGCTTGTATTGTGACATCACATCCTTCTCCTCTCTTCCACATGTCTCTGATGATAGCCAAGCTCTTCTCTCTCTCTTTTGCAGCAGAAGTTTTGATCTTTGATATGCAACTTTCTTTCAGCCTCTCCATCTGGAGACATTGAGAAGCATTTAAAACCTCCTCAATCACCCGCTCTTTACTCAAGTCCATGGCCACATGTCCACAATATGCAAACTCCATGATAGCCCTTAACCCAACTGGTGTCAAACATTGTGCAATTTCTCCCACTCCAAGCCCTGGCATTTCTTTTGAACCTAAAAATGCATTTGGGGTTTGACTGATAGCTGCTAGAACAAGCCGGTGAGCTTGGAAGGATTTTCCTTGAACGATAAAGGTGCAGTCCAGGAGTAATTCTTCCTTGCAAAGGTTGTGTAAGTGAGTGAAGAGTCTGTCTGAGTGTGAAGAGAAGTTGTAAGAGATAAGACCAGAATTCTCTGAGAGACATGAAGAAAGGCCGTGAGGAGTTTCTTGAGCTTTAGAGTCTGGTATATCCTTTGGTGTTTGAAGAATAGTTTTTGAGCTTTCTTTTATGCCACCATTGTCCACATGTGTTCCACTTTCTCTTCTGCATTCTCCACTTCTTCTCATAATGTCTTCCTGTGTGCACCTTATAGACTTGCTTGTGTCAGAGCAGACCGCCAGATGTTTACATTCAACGTGCACTGTACAAAGAGAGAAAAGGCGGAACAGCGAGAGTCAGGATAAGTCAGTAATAAAGACACTAGAAAAGTGTGACTACTCTATTCCTGGAAATGTTACTGTACTTATTCACTTTAACATTAGACATGCATCAGTTGTCCTCATGACCTCTCAAGTGTCTTTTTACGCAAAGAAAACACAACCTAGCCTAAAAAAAAGTTCAATATTGTCATCATGACAAACTTTTAAGTTCAGGAGGTCAAAAACATGTGAGCCACTTATTAGCAATGCTGTAACACACGAATGTGTCAAGACACAAACATTTGTCTGTTGCACCTGTTCACAGAGTTCAACATGTAACAACTTACAGTTCATTTTGACAGTAAGAACAATTTCCTCGTAAGAACAATTTCCCACGAGATATTAGAAATACCAGCAGCATACGACTTATTGTAATTTTGTACTAAGACGAGTCTTGCTTGATTACAATTGGTTAATATCTTATTTTAGATAAAAGACTCTGCATAGGCACCTACCTTGCTTTTCCTTTAGCAGTGTGGGTGGAACAAGTGACTTTGACCAGTGGCATTGTGAGCATGTGGGGCGCACAAGGCACTAGAGCAGGTTTAATTATAGCATGGCACTGACACTATAAAGACTACACTACAAGAAGTTTCCAGTACGCTCAGGAACTGCCTGCTTAAAAAAGTTCAACATGAAGTGAAGTATTTTGAAGTATTACATGAAGGGACTGAAGGTAAAAACGAAGACTGAGAAGATATTATTGCCCAAATACCTTAAATAACAACAATAACACAGCCATTACTGCTGTGTCTAAAGTCTGACAAAGCATTAATGAGTATAAATAAGACACTCTCTCACTATGTCCAGCGTACCTTTTTTAAATTGTGCTCAAAGTAACATCAGGAGAATCTATTAACCCAAAAAACAATAATATTTGTTTCATTATGTGTTTAATTCAGTTTTTAACATCCATGTTGAAAAGTTGTTACACAACAGAATGAGAGAGAAGAAGAGTTCCTGAAAACGTTTTTAGTGCAGTCATTGTGAAAGTTCCTTCCTGTGCGTTATTGACACTGATAGCTGATGAAAAGCATGTAGGCTGAGTTACAGATCAGCTGTGTTACTCATCTTGAAACTTATTAACTTTGTTATGTTAGTTCTACAGTTATTATTTTAAATAACACAGTTATTTATAACTTTTTTTGCAAACAAAATTAAAATCAGGTTTTTAGCTCTTTGTTTTTGGAAATAAAGATTTTTATTGGAAATAAAAAAAAAATATTTCCTGTAGAAAATATCATTGGTGGGGTACTTTGTGTTTTGCTTTTTTAAAATTCTTTCTTTTTTCTCTACTTCTGATTAGATAAAAGCCAGAAGATCATTCAAAAAGTATTCTACGAAAAATATTTCGATTTTAAAAATATTTTCATCTTTAGTTGCTTCAGCAGAACCCAATTACTCTTCTGTTACTCCACACTCTGCTTCTGCATGAAACACAGGTTTCTTATGCTGTATAACCAAGTGTTTTCTAAGAGGACAGGTACTAGAACCTGATATTGAAAATGGATAACAGTAGAGGTTAAGGTATTGAGAAGTATTGGAAAAACAAATATTATTATAATAACAACAATCTGTTAATTTTTATCCAAAGCCCAATATAATAACTTATTTGTGTTTCAGATAACACAACTCAGATAAACATTTATGGTGTGTGTGTGTGTGTGTGTGTTTGTGTGTGTGTGTGTGTGTGTGTATGTGTGTAGGCAAGAAAATTAGTGTATGTGTGTGAGTTCTTGCCTGTAAGGAGGGGGATGAGGTAAATGGGAGGGGATGTCACCTACCTCACTGACAGTATAAATTCCAATTATTTCACTGTGAAATGAACAAAGGCTGATTTTCCCTCTTCATTCAACAAGCAAAGAAAGGCACTGTAAGTACTGCTTTTGGTTTAACATTTTCTATAAAGGAGTTATTTTTTTTTTAGATGTAAAAGTTATTATGTCAAAGGTTTAACAACATGTAATATTTATACTAATGTGTACTTTTGTGAGTTTTAATACTAAAATAAACATCATTGAAAACAACTATTTTCTCTTTTGACACATAATCCATCAGTCGAAATGATTTCTGCACATATGATCTGTAATTTACACGATACTTTTACCAGTACTTCATTGTAATATATTGTAGCTAGTATAGTATTTCGACCACATTTGAGAATATATTATATGGGAAATGAATTCCAATAATAATGACAAAATACTAACATGAGTTAAGAATATTCTGCTTTGGTGAAGGTTATTTCTTATCCAGGTTCATGTCCTTTAGAAATAAGACATTAGCACACACTGATGTTGCATTCATAACTGAACTATTATGAGAGTAATTACTCAAATGAGCTTCTTTTGTAAGGGTGAATCATTATCTGTACTCACCCACTGCACAAAATTACATCTAATCCTGCTGAATTTTTCTTACAAGCTTTTTTATATTCACAATGAGATAACTTTAATTTCTCAGTTTTCAGTATTTTCATTAAGATGTTTGTTCAGGGATAAATAAAATGACTATAGCATGTGTTGCTTTTTGTACCAAAACGACAGAGAATTAATACCTTATTCTACCCTGCATGCCATATATGCCTAGAATAAGACAATTGGTACAAAGTGCTAAGCTGAAAAGGTTAATTTAGTTTTTCAATTTTCTTTATTGAACACAAAGCTAAAGGTAAAATCATATGATTCAAATATAAATGTTGATAATATTCGGTACAAAAGAATATTATTAATTATAAACTCGCATTTTGAGTGTCTGTTGAAAAATAGAAAACAGAAAATCACACACATTTAAATCTTGTTAACAAATATGAATCAGCACTTCTAACTGCTCTCCATATTGTTCCAAAGGATTTAATTGGTCTTTTAATGGGGCAGTTCATATCCAAAAGTCCCATAGTGGGTCAAGGTACTCGCCACCATGTCCAGTTCTCAGCTGGTGAAGAAGGACCTCCCAGGTACTCTTCACACCATTTTGAGACCAACAACAGAAGAGAAGGTGCTAGCCACCAAATTCCTCCAGCGATCATTATCTCAGAGGAGGGTTCAAGGTTTGTGTTATCAACTTGTGTCTATTTTTATTTTCCACCTCAGCATAATTTCCTCGTCATTCCATTCTGCTGTTTGAAAAAAAAATGGAACTTGCAAAATTATAATAATAATAATAAAAACATTTTCAGGAAGGAAGGAAGGAAGAAATTAATATAATCTAATGTCCAATAAAGGAACTGAAGCCTACCATCATAGATATGTTTTCCGCATTTACTAATCTGTACTATAGTTTCTCAGTTCACATGTTTTTCCCTCTAACAGTACATCAGAGCAGCGGGACTCAAGAATAGAGCTGCGGAGATCTTCCTTCTATAGCACCATAGACCTGCTGCCACAGCTGGAGCACTATGCCAGCACGCTGCCACACCAGCAGGCAAGGAGCAGACCTTCCCTGGAGGTTCTCCGCAAAGCATTCGATGTGAGTTTTCCACTTCTGGGAGCATTTTCTCATTGCTGCTGTCTTTTAAGAATCGCGTATTGACAGTAACACCACCTGGGGGGAATTAACCCCCCTAGGAAATGAAATGTTTGGCCTCTACAAACAGTGAAATGATTCTCACAGGTCTAAAAAACACAGTAGGCAAGGGATATAATTTTACAGTAAAGTTGTTAATGCAAAAACTTATTTATTTATTTATTTTATTCATTTATTTTGTGACGATTATTAATGAGAAATAAGCGAAACTTTTAACAAAACTGGACATACACGTTCAACAGGGCTTTGGACTAAGCCCTGCCTCTGAGGCAAGTTAGTAAAGAATTGTTATAGTGTTTACCAGTCCTTCAGGGACTGTGGAAGTAGTATTAGTCAACACACATGCCTTCTGCAAACAAAAGGTAAATGACCAAAAACCTGTACAATAAACATTTTGTGAATGGGTGGGCACCACAAGGGAGGCCACGCTACTACCCAACTAAAACATTGTCTGCAAAAAGCAGAGACGAGATCCTTAGACCAACAAAGCAGATGTCTTTTGCCTCATAACCTAGAAAATCTGTCCAATAAAATTATGCTCAGAATTGATGATAAAGGACAGCCCTGAGGATGTCCAAAACCCTCCGAGTTACTGCTGGCAATACAACAGGCCAAATGCCCCACACTCCCAAAGCACTTCCCAGAGAAGAGTGACATGGTCAAATGGAACCAACACACCTCATTCAAATGCCACAGAGCAAACACTTTTTTCTATGCTTAAGTGCTTTCTATCTAAGACTCAGACACATTCATATAGAACTTGGGGTTCAGTATTTTCCCCAAGGATACTTTGGCTTGTAGGCTGGAGCAGCCAGGGATTGAACATCAACCTTTCCAATTAGCAGTAAAAACTGGGCTTTCTGAACTGTTCAGCGTATAATCACAAGCGATGTGGTAATACAATTAAAAAATCAATCATCAACCCTGCAACATAGGGTGTCCTAATGACATGTGCATGCATGAACACCCTTATGGGTGACATAACAATAACAGCCAGGAACATCACTTGGAGTCAGATCAGGCAATCTGTTCTTCCCAATCATGGCACTTCAGGTCCCCCTTTCATTAACAATGTAAGCGTACAAGCCTCCCAGTAGAACAATGGAGTCCCCAGTTGGGGCACCCTTCAGCATCTCACCAGTGAATGCTGAGACTGTCCTTCACCACATAAGCACAAATGACAGCCAGGAGCTATGGAGAAACAACTCCCACTGTCCACTGGGGAAAGCCCCAACATACAAGCAGCACACCAGGGTGTACCTACCCCTGCCTGCCGTATATTACTGAAGCAACTACAGATTGGAACAGAGTTCAGCCCCACTCCACCAGAGTGGCACCAGAGTCCAAGATGTACATTAAGGTGAGTCTGAATATGTCTAGCCAGTATCTCTCAACCTCACACGCTACCTCAGACTCTTTACCCATTTAAGAGGCGATGTTCCATGTCCCATGAGCCAGCCTTAATAGGAATACCACGGCCTCTGCCCTCAACTTCTGGTTGATTCACAATGTACTATTTTCTATACTATTTTCAGGAAGTGGAGGGAGGAAACACCAACACAGATCCAGGAGCTTGTGACATTTCGGCCACAGATGCTGGAAGTGAAGAGGCTCAAGGTTCTGAGGAGAAAGCTCCTGCTAGATTTGGCTGGGTTGTTGGAGTTATGGTAAGTAAAACTTCTAGGTCTTTGCATCCACTGGTCCTGTAGAAAGTTTAAAAATACACAAAATCATTGATCTTGATCACTCTTAAGATCTGTTAATTAAAAACATATTACTTTCATTTTGGTCACAGGTTCGTTGTATGCTTAATATTTGGGGAGTAATCCTGTTCCTCCGCCTGTCCTGGATCACTTCTCAGGCAGGCATTTGTGAGTAATCAGTTCATTTGCTCCTCCATTTGTTCAGTTCTTTTCCTTTTGCTTTCATTTTCTTGTAAAAATTCCCCACGCCTGTTCATGTAGTTTTATCTCTGGGTCATGTTGATTTAGTTAGTTTCTTAATCATATCAATATGAGCACATTGTTCGTAGAGCTTTATCATAGGAAAGCGTGAAAGTTTGAAAAGAAGGGAAAAAAAATGATATCTAAATATTGACAAATGAAGTCAAGTATAGTAACTTCACCAGGAAATGAAAATATGGGATTGAGAGAAATGCTAGTTTCCTTGTTTGAAAAGTGAGCTGTTTTTTAAAGTGCTGACTATGTGTGAGTCTGCTTGTTTTTTTTAGCACACAGTTACTACATTTATTCACTGGGATGAATAAATGTAAGTATAGTCATTTTAAATCATAAAGGCAGCATAGAGGGTCTATTATATCGCTGAGTATTAAAGTACATATTCTAAAATATATACACTCAGATATGGATTTGCATGTAAGGTAAATGTGATTTTAATGAGTTCTAACTTTATTCTTCTTATGTTAGTGTTGACCTGGCTTATTATCCTGATATCTGTGACGGTGACCTCAGTAACTGCCCTCTCCATCTCTGCCATTGCCACTAATGGGAGGGTGATCTCAGGTTAGTCACTGTTCAAAGTAGGAAATCAGACAAATAAACCTTATATACAGTATGAATCTGAAAATATGAGAATACTTGGGACACCTTTAAAAAATGGTTGGGCCTTTTAATCTGCATAACAATTCTGCAGCTGAGCTCAGAATTGTAATTTTTCAAATGTGTTTGTTTGTTGCTTGTTTGTCTGAAATAATTAACAGGTGGGGCATACTTCATGATCTCCCGCACTCTGGGTCCAGAAATTGGAGGACCAATTGGGGTGGTTTTTTCCTTTGCCAACGCTTTGGCTTGTGCACTCAATACTGTTGGTTTTGCAGAGGTGGCCCGTGATCTAATGCAGGTAAAATGTATTGAAAGTGCTTTGTGGTATTAAATGGATGGTAGATTTGTTTTTGTAATAGAAGATGTCATATTATATATAATGTAAATAATATTTCATACTAAAATGCTATGCAACAGAACCTAAATTTGGTTAATTGATGTAGGAGTTTGGTGTTGTCATGGTTGATTCAATCAACGATGTCCGTATTGTGGGCGTGATCACTGTTACGGTTCTTCTGCTGATTTCATTGGCTGGAATGGAGTGGGAGTCTAAGGTGAGCACATTTTGATATTCAACTTGACAGCTGTACTTGGACAAAGTTTTGTCTCTTAACAACTTCTCTTCTTTTTTGGTTTCTTTATTTGTCTTTTTCTCTCAGACCCAGATTTTGTTCTTCTTAGTTCTTCTGGTTTCATTATCCAACTACTTTGTGGGCACATTTATTCCTCCCAATATAGAAAAGCAGGCACAGGGTATCTTTGGATACCGCAGTAAGTTTAGGTTTCTCTCAACAATCTATAGTCTTAAAAACCACATCGAATAATTGATTTGTTTGTTTCTTCCATCTTTCTTTCCTTCTTTCATAACTTCCTAATATTGTACCTGGTATGTTTTCCAGCTGAGATCTTCTTAGAAAACCTGACACCAAACTGGAGAGGAAATGAAGCCAACTTTTTCCAGATGTTTGCCATTTTCTTTCCCTCTGCTATTGGCATCCTGTCTGGTGCCAACATCTCTGGAGACCTTAAAGTATGAGGGAAATAAAAGAGAAATGCTCCTTAAAGGAAATATATGAATGCATCGTTTCATAATGTTTTATATTAATTGTATTTCCTATCTCAGGACCCTGCTACTGCTATCCCCAAAGGCACCCTCATGGCTATTTTTTGGACTACTATCAGCTATTTAATGATCTCTGTCACAGTCGGTAAGTTACCCAGTACATACGTATTTGATCTAAATAGGTATAAATAATTTAATTAATACAAGACAGAGGCTGAAGGTGTTTAACCTGGCACTCTATATGTTATAAAGCTGGGGACTTGTTATCTGAAACAGGTTTCTGGTAGTAGCACAAACTGAGATCAATACAGCCTTTTTGGGAGTAAATAAATTTTCATGGTTATCCATGAAAATTATATTAAAATCTGTACTTTTCCTCTAGCATCATGTGTAGTGAGAGACGCTTCTGGAAATATGACTGATATCCTGACTGGAAATCTCACTGATGGTTGTGTGGGGCTTGGATGTAAAATGGGCTGGAACTTCACAGATTGTATACAGCAAAAGAATTGCGAATATGGTCTGGCCAACAATTCAAAGGTACTAGTTCATTCAGTTAGCCACATTTTTTTTCTTTTTTTTTTCCTTTTTGTTATTGGGAAGAAAGACACTAAACCAAAGAAAAGCACATTTTTGGTTAAATCTTTAACTCTTTGTCAATATTCCTGCTATATTCATTGTATTTAAAACTTTATTCTGGTTTGTCTTATACTTAATGATGACTCAAACCAGGTCTTGGGCCAGGTTTCTGGTTTCTACTACCTCATCACTGCTGGGGTCTTTGCAGCCAGCTTGTCCTCTGCTCTTGGATTTCTTGTCTCTGCCCCTAAAGTCTTTCAGGTGGGAAATCCATTAACTTTTTTCCTATTGCATTCATTATGCATTCATTTGCACTTTTATTGATGAACAAAATATGAATCCATTATTATAATTTCAATGTACCTAATATTGCTGTATTAGAGACCAGTTTACCTGGACTTTACAAACAAAACAGCTTTCTTTTTGACACAATAATGGGCACATTTTGAATCTACTAATGATTTAGTTATAATTAATGATTTTTAAAGTCACTTGCAGTATAAAGGAAACGATTAATAAGGTAAACTAAAGCAGAACAAGCAAACAGCACGATCTCATGTAGCTTTAAAATCATTGCTCAAGTGTATTCACATTTTAAAGGAGCAAAAACACTGAGGACAGTTAAAAAGTCAGCTATCATCTTATAGCTCAAATGTTTGATTAATGAAAGTTTGTATAAATATAGTAAAGTCTCACTTTTTTGTTTATGTTTTATGTTCTCTCTATCAGTGTCTGTGCAAAGACAACTTATACCCATACATTGGGTTCTTTGCAAAGGGTTATGGGAAAAATGATGAGCCGCTCCGGGCTTATGTGCTATGCTACATCATTGCTGTGGCCTTCATTCTCATTGGTGGGTGTGATCAACATGGCTAACACATTTTCACCTCTTACTAATGTTGTGATTCCCATATAAAATGTCTTGTCAGCTCTAAATTTGTAGTGTGGTTTCAAATACTCTCTCATCTGTGTCATTACAGCGGAGCTGAACACCATTGCAGCTCTGATCTCCAACTTCTTCCTGTGTTCCTACAGCCTTATAAACTTTAGCTGCTTTCATGCTTCAATCACCAACTCCCCAGGTGAGTAACATATTCAGTAATTAAGCTATACTCAATATTAAACACATTCACATTAAACCATTAGTTTTGGTAATTTCTAAGGTTTAGTACATTTTGTTCAGTCACACTAATAAGAGAGATTGCTACTCTATAAAAGCATGTGACAGCCAGATTTTTCACAGTTTAGCATGCGTACAAATGCCCACATACACAACCACTACTCACCAGTTTATTCCTGCTTGGCCCCAAAATTAAACAGACCCCCATTATGAGGTCGGAAGAAAAAACAAATTGTTTATATGCAGCTTAGTGTGGAAAAGAGGTTATTCATCTGACTTCAGTGAAAACTCATATTGCTCCTACAACCAGTGATGGTAAGACAAGGTTTTATGTAACATTCAAATCAATTCTACCAAAATTGTATTTATCATACCAAGTTATATTGGAGAAATCTCCGTACACAGAGGTCCACATAGATCTAACCCGCTGTTATATTAAATGCATGACAGTTCTCTAGTTAAAATTTTGGCAAGAGAGTCAATGTGTTTCTATTTTGACAAAATCAACTACGTACAATTCAAAGCTCTATAACATTTAACAGCAGGTTGCTGGTAATGCCTAAAAAACAAACACAAGAAATCATACATAATGTAAATGTAGGCCATAATGGGTGGACATTGGGATCAGAGTTCTGGCCATGTAGCATTACAAAGTCTGCCCTGTGCCACTTCATAATCCTTTTCTCACCGACTCCTCCTGTAGGTTGGAGGCCCTCATTTCACTACTACAGTAAATGGACGGCTCTGTTTGGAGCAGTGATATCTGTGGTTCTGATGTTCCTGTTTACCTGGTGGGCTGCTCTAATCACCTTCTGTATAATCTTCTTTTTGTTTGGATACATCAACTACAATAAACCAAGTGAGTCAAAAACCATAAGTTTTTGAGCGTAAGTTGGAACTGAGCACTTTGGTTAGAATAACATGCCTCAGATTCATAAAGAGAATTGAATGCATCAAAGTGTACTTTACACTTCTTTTTCTGTATTTTGCATTTCTCATATAAGTGTCTTTTGAAATTAACAGAGGTAAATTGGGGTTCGTCAGTCCAAGCAGGCACATACAACATGGCTTTGTCATACTCTGTCTCACTTACTGGTGTGGAGGATCACGTCAAGAATTTTAGGTGAGTGATCTAAAATTTCAGTTTTGAAAAGTCAAAACATGAAAAGTCAAAGCTTTTCATGAAACATGCACGAGTGCTAAAGTCTATAAGTGTACTTGTTAGTGCTCTTTTCTAACAGTATTAATAGATTTTAGTTTAGAATTTATATTTACTGGATTTCATCCATCCAACAGTTTTATTCCATTTACATCTTAGAAAATATCTGTATATTTACCTGTTGTCTCTAGGGGTATGGAGAGTACATACATATACA